AATTCTATTTTACAGTGGACGGAAAAAGATAAGGAAATTAATGAAGTGTAAAATTAATTTTCTCGTTTGTACGATAGGATTGGAAACGTTTCTAACTGCTGAAATCCAAGTTTGAAAACTTTACAAAATCAATTAATTGATTTTTCGAACACTTGAACTAGGATTTATTTCATAAGACATTTTTGATGAAATATTTTGTCTGGCGTTATTGGAGTAATATCCCAATTTATCTCCTTATAAACCTTAATATCTGAAACTATAAATAGTCACCTGTAACACGATCAGTGTTGTAATAATAGCTTTGTTGCCCCCTCGGAAATGCTCCGTAAAAATGCAGACAAAACCTAAAGATTGATTACTGCTATCCAACCCTCTCATTTTTACAACATCGCAGTAGCTTTGCTCTTATTTGTGCTGTTTGCTTCTTGTTTGCCCCGCTTCCTTACAGTCTTCGACGGGCTGTCGATAAACACGAATGTGTGCTCTCTGTAGCGTGTATGCAAGCAGCCAAGTTCGCGATCAATCATTGTGTCATCTTCATGTCGATGATAAATATTTCAAACCATTTTTATTACAAGTATTTTCCATACGCGAATACAAACTTTATTAGTTTTGATCATGCGCTCGTAATTTGATCTTCAAAAATGCTTTAACGATGTTCTGAAATGCAATTTCGACGTCAGTTTGATACCGAGGAAAAGTTTTCAGGCGGATGGTTTGAATAATTTATTCGGTTTTGTATTCGTAGCGTACTCTTTGTGCAGCTAAATGATGGATTTATTGGTGTTATTGGAAAGCTTTCAGAACCATGGGTAAAGTATTTCCATGTAGATGGCGTCGAAGTATGGTGTCACTATGTGAATGTAATATTCATAAACAATGGAAATCGTAATTATCTTTGTAATTGCCGAATCGATTGGCAAAAATTGATAAGTACATTCAACCATTTCTATTATACAATACAGATATACAAAGAATATGAAACAAAAATTATTGTGAAGGAATTTTTGTAGAGAATTATGAATTTAAACATTTTATTTTTTTAAACCCTTTTTTTTTCATATATATTAAGTTAAAATACTTAAAGTTTAACTTTAAAAATTTCCTTTTTTTCTTGTTTTTTTTTCTATTCTTATTTTTTCCTATCATTTCCAAAGATCAAATCTGTTTCCCACGAAGAGCAACAATCAATTATCTTTAGCATTGTTTAATTTAGTTTGCTTAGGCTTATAGTGCTTTTATCCCCAGATACACCGCCATCTCAATGTTTTGTTTCGCAAGTTATTTATGTTCATTATGATCTTCTAGATAGTGTTAAAACGCGACATGTTTGCGCAGCGAATGTCTCGCCTCTCCGAACGTGAGGTTCCCACCCACAGCAAAGTAAACCGAACCTTAATGATCAACAAGACTAAGCATTCATTTGCATAAAATGATTTATATTAAGCTGCTGCTGCACGTTGCAAAGTTATTAAATTCTAGACGCGGATAAATGCTGATGAGGTGAGCGGATAGCGAAGATGGCAAAGGTAGCAAAACTTGTCGATTGAGTGCTGTTTGCCGAGGAAAAGCAAATCCAACTAGGACTAATTTTTATTTACCTTGACAAAGTAAATACTTTTAAGCGTATTAGATATTTATGTGAGCATCGGAAAAGGTTGAAAGTTAATGCAAATTGAAGAGTTTTTTATCCTTTTATTTTTAGATTATTTTCTGCGTACTAGGATTTTACAGTTCGATCTTCTTATTTTACTATTACAGTGGATTTGCTTGCATTCAAAACATGCAACTGTCAATAACTTAACATAAATAAAACATGAAAGCTGAAAATACAGAAAATGTCAGAAAATAAAAACAAACATTTAAAAATAGTAACAAATTAAGCTTTAAATTTATTTTTGCTAACGCAGCTGACCGTTTTGTAGATTCAACAACGACAAGAATTTATACTTTTTTAAAAGAGAATAAATACACAAAATATGCAAAAGATTCCTTGTTATCAGACAGATGCCTCTCAAAAATATATAATGCTTCTTACTACGTCGTTGCTTGCTAAGATAAGAGAAAAATAAGAACATCTTGTTTATGATGTCCACATGAAAAGTCACGTCGAGAGAAAACTTTCTCAGAACAAAGGAAAACACAAGATTCCCGCCTACGATATTCAACATACTGAAAAAATGTATCTTGCAATCAATAGATTCAGTTAGAAGCAAAAAGTCTGAACAGTTTCGTGCTGTGCTTGCGTGACCGACTTCTCCTCAAACAACAACAAACTAATAAAAAGCCAAAAACGAAACAAAAATTATTAGGGTTTATTTATCACTCAACTCGAAAGTAATTTTATAACGGAAGGAAGTTACACTCCGTTATTATTCACGTTGCGAATAGAAAAGTATGCATCAAGTTATTAAACTCCAATCCTCCAATTTACTCGGTTTCCTGCGAAAGGAAAACATTCTGAAAACAGTTTTCAGATTTTATTCCTTAACTATGTGCCATTGCAATTATCCGGAAAATAAAATACTTGGTTTTTTGCGGTTCTTTTTGCGTTGTGGCACGCTTTTCGTGTGGTGAGCCGGAAATGAAAAGAAATAGTCTTGGTCGTGCCCGTCGGCGGGTTTATAAAAGCATACTGCTAATAAAAATTTATGAAAAGGGTTAAAACTTAAAGAACTCTTTTGGCGATGAGTTTGCAAAGCTTGGAAGTCACCAAACTCTACGTGCAAGGTTAAGTAGCAGCGCCAGGCTTTTCATAAAATTATTATTCCATTTTCTTTTCTTTTAGTGTTCTTGGGCGTATTCTTGCTGTTTTTTTTTTTATTTCGCAGTAAAGTAAATGTGTTTGTGTGAACAGTCGTAGCAGGAAGAGAGGAAGTGTTTTTATTTTTCATTGCATAGTACTTTTTGAAATCTAGAAAGAAAAAATAAATAACAAAAATCCCAACATAAACTTTTTTTAAAATGAATAAAAAAAATTAAATTCAGTATCACCTGAATAATTATCCGCTTTTAAAGTCAAAAATTACGTGCATCTATAGTAGCTTGAAGCTTAACTTCGTGCTTTCCGTCGTCACTGTCCTTTTGCTTTCGAAATCTGCGAGGCGCAAAATCTCTCCGGCCTTTGTGCGTCCTGTCGATAAGACCTAGCGTGCTCGAGGCGCTTAAGAGGCTCCCAAACTTGCGCCCCATGAACCACTCATCCTTCCCAGTCTGCTAATGGGGTGTCGAGTTTGTCGCGATTGCAGGTTCTGCAAGCAACGTTCGATGAGCATTCGACGTTAATCTTCACCCTTTAACTTAAAGGCGAACAAAGCTTCCGAGCTGTCCAACAAGCAACAAAAGCCCAAAATCTACTCAGTGACAAACTTGTTAATTAACTATAAATGCATCAATGAATCCAATAATTTAAACCTGTATCTTAACTAAAATAAACAAATATTTTGTTATTAACATTATGATACATAGATAAACCCATATAGCTATCAGCCACATGGGAGTAGTTGGGATCATCGGGTGTCACTCACCAAACTGACGGTGGGTTATTAATAGTTGATTAAATGTATTCCCTTGCTGAGGTTTCAATAGAGAGCTTCTTGGGAAAGCCTTTAATAACCACGCATAATAGTAATGCGTAACTCGATCGCAGGCGGTGGCGGAGCACCGGTCGATAGCCCCACCTAAGTCACGAGAGGATCTCTAGCCAACTAAGTTTTCATCGGTAAATAATGTATTGGTGTCGGTGTTGGCAGACTTAATTGCCCCCTGCTCGCTTAATTGAGCGGTTTTGTTTGACATGGACCACGCACCAATAACGTTATCCTATTTGTGTTTAGCTTCAAGTTGCTTACGCACGCATCGCATCTAAATGCGGTCGAACATCACCTACTGGAATTTTCCATTTTCATGTTGTCCTTTACAGACCGTTTGTTGGTGAGTGCACCACTACTTCGCATTCTCCTCTCTTAGGAGTCTGAAGCAGGGTTTAAGAGTTGCGGTGCACTTGCAGGTTGTGAGTCGACGTTTAATTAAAGCTTCGACACGCTGAAACACGACGCACTTGTGAAGTGCACACCATAGACGGCGCTTGCGGTCTCGCAAAGATTGCGTCGTGGCCGTGTTGTTTTTGACGTTTCCGGTCAGATATTTACACACACGGCACGGTAAGCATAAACCATGCTGCTGATATTCAAAGCACGTCTGCAGCCGACCGAGAGGGATTGAAAACGAGATTGAAGTTTTATTGCGTGTCACGCTTGAATAAATTAGGTTGGGTAAGCTTTCATGAACACTCTTAAAATCCAACTAAAGCTGTGTCACGAGTTCCAATATAATGAAACCCTAGTATTATATTATATAATGTAATGAAGCGTATTCTACAAATAAATATGTTTTATTCAACTTTTAAAAACGAAATATAATCGAACATTTAACTTGGAATTCATACATGTTCAAAAAGTTCGAATTATTTATTTATAGGGAAATTCAATGGAAACTATAGAAATTTTCAATTGCGAATGACGGGCACTTACTCTTTAAATATACATTTCATTTGTACACCGTTTTTCTTTCTTTGGTTGCATAAAAGTATAAAACGCGCACGAGCGCAAACGGGAAAATCGCAGAATCGAAGCTTATTTCGCACGACTTCTCTCAGACTGGTATTCTGGAATCACAACTACTTATAAAGTGCTTCCGACTGCTTCTGTAAGCCTTGGCGAATTTCCATGACGCTCTCTCTTCGCGAAAACTTTTTCAGCATCTTACATGCTGGCTCTCCCGCTACTTTAACATGTAATCGCTTTCGATTTGCTCTGCAATTTGGCGATTTGTGCGCGTAAAGTGGAAGAAATGTTCAACCATATGGATAGAATTTGTTAGAATGTGCCTTATGCTCACACAAGGAAACATTATATTTTATATAAGAATTAGATTTTAGTATACCATAAATTGCTTGACAGTAACTTATACAATGACAGTAATTTTCTTTTTCTTTTCAGATGAACCAACGAATATAAAAATCGTCTGCAGTTTGCACATTCACAATGATAGCTAGAAGTCCTTCCCGTCGAAGACGCGCTTCGCGCAGTGGCGGATCGTCTCCACAGCCGGTTCGCTCGACCCGTGTTCCGACCTCTCCAGCAGTGAGCCCAGGGCGCAGAGCAAGTATCGCCGTTTCCCCAGTAGACAGCGAACGCATCCAGCGTCACATGCTTGCTCCAGAAATGATGAGTCGAAGCCCGCGGCATTCTATCATTCCCGATATATCCCTAGAATCTCGCAGCAATTCCTCAACCGAAGACATTGACGTGCCTATTGCGCGCAGCCACTCTCCACGAAACAGCTTGGTCCCAGATAGTTCACGAAGTCCTAGACATTCCCTAGTGCCGGGTGACTATTCTCGCAGCCCCAGAAATAGTCTAGTTCCCGATGGACACTACAATCGCAGTCCTAGGAACAGTCTTGTGCCTGAGGTGTCAAAAAGTCCAAGACATAGTCTAGTTCCAGATCAAACGTCAATGAGTCGAAGTCCGAGGCATAGTCTAGTGCCAGATGGAAATGGGTCAAGATTGAATTTGGATTTTAACCGGAGTCCAAGAAACAGTCTACTGCCAGATGGCACAAGAGAGGCAAGAAACTCCAGGTTAAACGAAGACCAGATGAATTGGGGATCTGGTAGTCCCGATGAAATTGTAAACATGAACAGGAGTCCCCGGCATAGTATAGTACCAGATGGAAATAGAAGTCCACGTGGGAGTATAGCTGTTGATCGGGATAGAACAGACAGAACAAGCCCAAGAGGGTCCATTGCCAACGAGTACATCGATCGCAGTCCAAGAGGCAGTATTGCAGGCGACGGCCGAAATCATAGAGAACCATTGAGCAGCCTGAACAAAAACAATAAATTTGACAGATCCAACGATATGCTCGATAGAAATGACAGGAGTCCAAGGGGGAGTTTGACCTTGACCTTTCAAGACCCACCCTCTAAATATCCAAGGAGATATAGTACTGATTATGGTAAGTTATAACAAGATTACCTCTAAAATGAAATAATACTATTAATTATGCATACGTTTTTCAATTTAGGACAAAAAGGACGCAGCGCTTCTCCTTACAGGTCCTCTCGAGGGAACCTCAATCAAGGGTACAACCAGAGCCAAACCACATGCAACGAAAGCGGTTCACGGAGAGCGAGCAGCTCGGTTAGTCAGGTAATTATCTTTTCCTTGCGTCTTTTATAAAATGCCTATAAAAGCACTTCACTTTACTCTACATTCTTGCAAAACCTTTCTGTTGTAATTGATGTATATTTAGATATTATACTAGGTATTATATAAATATATTTATAGTTTGTTAGCGCCGTAGTTCACAGATTGAGTTTCCAAGAAAATCTAACTATCTACTTCCCTTGGAGCCTGTTCCTAAACTGCGCATCGAAAAATCAATTGTGCGCTTCCCTGAAAATAAATTTATCCTTAGTTGCTTCGCTGCGCGCTTATACACACATAAATCGCTTGCAAACGCACCGGATTTCGCGCAATTTGCGTTCGCTGCAAGCGGCGTCTTGCCGTGCAAACAACGGAACACACTTAGCCCGAACAACACCGCATCGAATCAAACAATTTCCATGAGAGCTTCCCACACTTGACATGCCCGTTACGTACAAAAACATTCCCCTTCGTTCCGGCACGTCAAAATGCTCGTGTCGGCTTTGAATTTAATTCGCATTATTGATCTTCCCACCGCATCAAACACCTACGTGTACTAGTACACAACTACTACATTAGAACTAACTTTATAAGTTATTGATTATCAATTTACACGTGTTTAATCATTAAATTTAATCTCGTGTTGTTGTTGGTGTTAAATGTGCTGATAAATGTTTTCTTGTGCTTTCTTGTTCTTCTTATTGTGCGTGAAAGAAATCAGTCTGACGTTCGATGCATGTTCATCTATGACCGAACATTGATCATGCCACTCACACGATGATCAGATGACCAGGACTGATTAGTATTTTTCCGCGTGCCCGCTTTCTTTCTCTGGGTCTGTGCAGGTGTCTGGTGATGAACAAAAACGTTTGTTTTCGGAAAAGAATTATGGTGACGGCGAAGCTGGTCTTGGAATCGGACTCACCCTAACAACCTACGGATCAGTGGCGTATCAGCTCAAAGACGCCAATTTGGAAGCCAACGATACATGCGACTTCATCTTCAAAGCACTGCAGATTTTCAACAAAACAGGTATTAAAATCACTAGAGTAGCACAAAATCCAAAACTCATGGTTACGTGATGTGTTGTGGTTTCAGTTGTGGTTACCGTGGTACTGGTCTTCTTATCAACTCTGCCATTGCTAATGCTTATCATGGGTGAGTACTATAAATACGCAGTACGCCTTACTTTTACCTTTGATTCAAAAAGCTGTTTTACATTGGTTCGTTGGTTGGTTGGTGGAACTAAAGCGAGTAGTTGCCGAATGGCGTGCTCGTTTATCGCGCCGGGGTCCGATAACGTCGCCGTCGCCTGCGTTTTCCTTTATCTACATCCACGTAGTTAGGAAATCGTGCAGTGGGTTTAACCATGCGATAAAACGCTCGACTTAAAATATCAAACCATTAAACAATCATTCATTCCGGTAGCATTCGCGGAGAAATTCTCACTTTACGAGATTTATTTTTGTGTGCGAGATTCATTAGTACCCCATAACACGCAGTTTTCGCCTTGGTTAAATAAATTACACTGGGGATATAATGATTATGAAACATGACTAGATTGGAGTTAAATTTCTTATTAATTTAGATTAAAATTGTTGATTTTTCTTCCAAAAATGAATTATTATACGTAATTTATCTACAAATGCATAAATTACAAGCATAGTTTTAATAACAAATTATTTTCTGGACAATAGAATTAATTTTATTATTAATTTTTAGAAAATTATAAAGGGATTATTATTTTAGGGTCTGTTGGGGGTAAAAGTTGCTGACAAATTGAATTTTGGAATGTTTCTCTCAATATTCATCAAAAGCTTGAAAGCAACCAGAACTGAAATAGCCTCGCAGGCTGCGGTTTTAATAATCGTCGGCATCGACACGTGCGGTTTTTGTGCGGTTTTCATTTGAAAAGTGACGCGTTTAGATATGAAATTCCATTCGCTTTGGCATTATGTTTTTTTTGTGCGGCGGCAACTCGGTCGTCTGGTTGAGGGTGAAAGTTCAAGTTCAAACAAATTAAAACGTGTTTTGCCAAAAACGTAGCATTGTTGAGTATCAAAAATTTACATTTTGATTTCCTGCTACGTTTTCTGTTGACTGTTTTTTGGCAATTGAAGGTATTTCATCACATTAATATTCAGGATGTTTGCTGTTCCGGATGCAAGTTCTCGAAGCGTTGGACCGTAGTGCTCATTGTCGACATTGTCGAGTGCTGTCATGCCAAATTGCAACGAACTGCATTCATACCGAGAGGACGACTAATGAGAAATAAGAGATTCCTCCAAGTCAGCGTAATTTGCACCTCACGGCTTCCATGCGCATTTCTGATTTGAACATAAATCTAGATTTTACACTCGTATAAATGCAAGCAAACTTATTGCGCAAAACACAAAACAAAATATGATGATAAAAATATACAACAACAAGGTTTTTTTCAAATTCATATAGGTATACATTAAAATATCATTAAATTGTCATTTTTCTAAATCTTGATTAATGCTTTAGATTGGACTAATGTTTAAAAACAATTCAGCAAATTAAACACAGTTAAAAAATTATGACTATGCCCATACATATTATTTCATTCGGCCTTTATTGTTGTTCCACTATTGTTTACACCATGGAGAAATTTTTAAAACTCACCACATTTATGGTATTTATACACACATGATTAAATATACAATGATAAAATAACTTTTAACTTTTAGATAATTTTATTATTTTTATATAATAAGAAATGCAAATTCCAATATTCAATTCAAAGATTTTGGTGATTGTGATGCAAAAGAACGCCCTGCACATTTTATGGTACAGTGCAAGACAATCTTTTCACCGAAATTGTGATAAACAGTACAGTTACGGATTATCCTGCAAAACCAGTAGGTCTTTTCCAATGTGCGATCATAATTTATAACATCACACTTTAGATTACCTACATATTTGCTGCTTCCACGGATGGAAAAAACTACGTTTCTTTTTACACCGGAAAAGAATCAAATGGTTGTACTCCTATAAAACGATTCATTAATGAAATATATACCGGAATAGCACAGAGATTAAAAATATATCCAGTTGCTTGTCCTTTTAGAAAAGTATTTGTTTTATTTTTATTTTAAAATTTTAAATTAATGTTTTATTATAAATTTTAAGGGATTTTATAAAGGATCCAATTTTTCACTGGCAGAAAATATGTTTAAAAGCATTCCAATGCTGCCAAAAGGATATATAAAAATAACCGTGATAGTTTACAGTGGTAATGATCGACGAACTGAATTATCATGTACAAACTTTCAACTTGAAAAGCAATAATAATCAAAATGATAGCAAAGATATAAAATAAAACACGAAATAAATATTTCCGTTTTATTTTGACATGTTTTATGTGGTGCGGTTTGTTTGTGTTTTGATTATGGTTATTATTTTCAGAACGGAACATTGTTTTCGCTGTTTTTTGATTTGACGGATTAAAAGATTGCATTTGCATGCGCCACAATATAAAATTGGACAATTCCTCTTGAGGGAAGCGTTGGAACACGAGCACCATCTACGTGGATGGGTTTTGCTTCTTTCCGTTTTCCGTTTTCAGCTTTCTGTTTTACATTTTCTGTTTGCTGTTTTATGTTTTATGCATTCACGCGTCCGAAGCTTGATGCACGGGCGCGACAACGGCCGTTGAATATGCAATATTTCGCGAGGGCGCGCATGAATACAAAACACTTTTGGCATTTTTATTCACATTCAGCATTCTTGATTTTCAACTAGTAGATTATAGCGGATATTATCATATTCGCATAATAATATGTATTAAAATCAAAATTAATCAAATCTAGTTATTTATTTTTTTTATTACCAAGCGTCAATCTTTGTTGTAATTTCATATCTGAAAACGAATGTCAATCAAAAATTGATTTGAAATAATTGAAGATATGTTCAATTAAAGGAAATTTAATTAAATAATGATCTTATCTGTTTCTAGACTGAAAATTGATTATTCCAGATGAGTTCTGAGCAAAATAAATAAATAAATACGTTTACTTTATAAATTATTATACTAAATATTTCAAATTTTTGATTTTCAGGAGCACAATTCCTGCGTGATTGTCCCCGCGAACAATACATCCCCATCTACATGTTGGTAGGTGGTACGGTGGGATGTTTAAAGATGGCGTGGATTCTCTGGGACCAACTGTACACTCGTCGGCTAGCCGCAGCGGGAGCCACAAACAGCTCCAACATAGGATCCCGTATCCTATCCCTTGCGCTAACCATCTTCCTTCTCGTATGGTTCGCTCTGGGTAACTACTGGATTCTTCGCATCAAGTGGCCCGACTACGCTCCCACACTCTTCGAACCAAATCGTTGGTGCCATCGTACTCTCTACGTCTTCGCTATTGTGCATCTGTTCATAATTTACGCGATTGCCGGCGTGGTTGTTTTGCTGGTAATTATCCTCGCCGGATGTCAAGCGTTTGGCTGCCCATGGCTCGGACCTGCCGGCTCATACAAATAGCGAATGCGCTATGAGAAAACCCAAGGTGCTAGCGATAGCAGTCTACCGGAGAACTTCGAGTTGTGGGATATGCCGAGAGGATATCATTGAACCAGGTGAGGAGACAAATGCGCTACAACTAGCTTCTGGCTAGATTTGAAAAGTCTGACGAGGTACTTCCAATTTGACGTTTTATATTGAGACCAGCATTAAATACTAACAACGCGATCAAGCAAAAACTTTTAAATACTTTAAAATGCATTATTGATTGCACTGCGTCAATGTAAATGTACTGTACATACCTAATTGCATACTTGCTTGAAACTTTGCTTTAATTCCAACTTGTTTCTTCAGATGTCGAAAAATTTGTCAATTACAGTGGCTGAAAAAGCAAACTTCAAATTCCGCTAAATGAATTAAAGCTATAGTCTTGAAGATTTTAACACATAACGCTTAAACTTTTAAATGGTTTCTATGAACCAAATAAATAACCAAAGTGTGAAGGATACAATAATGTAGAACTAATACAAAAATGCTGTAATTGACATTAAAACGCGTTAAATTTGTATATTTATTGTGTGTTGTTTATTGTATACGTGTTACTTGCATATAACCAGAGCTTAAAAGACAGTAACATAAAACGTAAGCTAAATTATTGTCTTCAGCTGCTGAACAACTATTTAGGATTAATTTCGATGTGGTAAATTAAAGTTTCTGTCGGTTTGTGATTTGCATTCTTTTCATCTCTAATGATTGCCAACACTTGACTTGCAAACAACCGCGAATTAAATGCAATTTGCATAAAAGTTCCATTAATAATCGCAGAACTCAATTCCCAACTTATAATTTATCCTAGCGGCGCGCAATTTGTTTAACTATTCAAATATTCTTTCGGTCCACTGCGGCGGTAGTTAAAATGAAAAGACAAATATCGCATTTTGCATTGAGCAAACCAGAGTCCCCAACTTAAACATATTTAATTCGGTAGAGCGAGAAGGACTGCGAGTAATTAATATGCGGGGAAGCAAGCGCAGATTCAGAAATAAAACGACAGAATTGGACCGCCGAGTGGAAAACTAGGCAAACAAAAGAAGGGAAAACCAAAAAGACATAGGAACGTGGGAATTTAATTAATTTTAATGCGATTTGACGCGCACTAAACTTTCGCAGTTTTTTCGAGAGGATTTTTACGTTTTCATTACTTATTTTAAGACTTGTATAGAGACATAATTATCAAATCGTATTTTATGTCAATTCGTGTAAGATTTTCGGTATCAACGTGGTTTTAACGTCGTTATTTAATTTATTAGGTAACAAATGTCGCTCGATAACACTTCACCGTGCATTTGACTCACCGGAATTATTGAACAACAGATAGTGTGTGATTCAATTTTGTTTTGCGTGTAACGCCATCTAGCGTTCGGTAGCTCTAGAGTGAAGTCAAATGCCATTGTGAAGGAATGTATATTTATCGAACGGCGCGCGCGGTCCAGCTTTAAAACAAACAAACAAAACTAAAGTACTAAAAATGAACGTCTAATCGATATGGTAATTGTTTAAACGTGTGTGAATTTACTCGTAAAATATTTGCTATCATGCTCCGCAAAGTGACGCAACACATCCATACAAGTATATCTATTAACTTACACACTCACTGAGCATATAATATATCGCTAAACTATATAAATTGATAAATAAACGCAGAAGAGTGAAATTTATGCAAAAGAATTTATTATACAAATTTGAAATGGAGTATGTATAAAAATTATATGAAAACTGGAAATTTTTATATGCAAATGAACCATTTGTAACAAGGTATTCTATCGAGTGTCATAACTTATAAATAAACTAATATAATACTAACGAGAATTGAAAATCTATATTTAAAATGATATGTTGGTATTCATATCGCTATATAACTATTATATTGAGTTGAATTTAAACAGATTTATGATTTTGCCGAATCAGATTTTTTCTGTAGGTATTTTATCAAAAGGAAAAAGTAAAGCAGTCCGCCAGCCATGCCGGGACAAAACAAATTTTAACGAGAAAACTTTCATAGCCACGAATATATCGATCCGACGTGGTTTCAGGACAAAGTCCTTGCCATTGTCGGCACGGTTTCCTCAAAAAAGTTATTCGTTTTGACCGAGTAAACTTGCATGTTAGACGCTCAAAGATTTTCTTTTCGGATATCTTAACACCACCTAAAGCATTCATTCATTGTTATTTTTATAATAGCAAAAAAATCAATTTTGCAGTTTTTATTAATGCAACGAATTCAGATATAGAAAAATTTACTAACAACATATCATAAGTATAAATTAAATATATTTATTAAGTTATACGAGGTAGATATACGTTGTTTTTTTGGATTGCATTGTATACAAATGTGCTTCTTCTAACTTTATTCATAGATCATGCTAATTGATAGCGATTGGAGTTGAATAACTACTAAATGATATATTGAATATATAGATTCAAAATAAAATAATATTTTTTGCTTTTAACTACTATTAGCTGCTGGATAGCTGGTTTATGGGCACCATTTATTTGTTTGTTTGAAATCATAAAGTAATCTATTTATAATAGTGAAAAATGTGATTTGCATAAATCATATATAATTTAACTTTAATTTCTTTAGAAAAACAACTATAAACATAAAAATTTATTAATTTTGAATTTACTTTTTCTTTTGTAACTTTATCACTTCTTAAAAGTTAAACAATGTAAATTTTAGTAGAATTCTATAAAACTATACAAGGAAATGTACAATATATTTGTAATATGTAAATGATTCAACCAACAAGGTTTGCATAAAATAATAATGCTTATTTTTGACAAACCAAGTCAAAATATGAGTAAAAGTTAGTCAAATAAGTATAAAATATATCTATAAAAATATGTAATAAAATATGTAAGCAAAATATAAATGAAAATCAAAAAAGTTTACGGAAAGAAAAGTAAAAAGTAAACTAAATGAATTATTGTAATATCTGTTAATTATTTTAATATGTTCTTCAACTAAAGTAACTAGATAAAATTAATTTTACTATTTCTAAATCTTTTCTCTCTTGACGCTGTGATAATATTTGAGTGAAACATGTCTCATCAATTTTACATACAAACTATTTATTATATGTATAATGAATTGGGTTGTTAATCATAAAGGACTATATCATTCTTTATTACTAAAAATATTTATCTAAGAACACTTTTAGTATTACTCTAAAAAAATCGTATATAGAGACGTGTTTTTACTGTTGTGATTACTTATGATGAATAATTTATGTTTGCGATTTATTTTTATAAAATGCAGGCTCGAAATATTTATCAACCATCACGTGAATAAATATTTGGTGTCTGCCAAACGTGTGTGTATGTTATGTTCATGTGACGTTGTAATTCTATGTGAACTATGCGAAGTAAACCAAATAAAAAATATTAATATAAAATAAAATTTGTTCGATTTTATCAGTTTCAATTTGTGGTATTGTGGTATGATATGTTTCCGTTTTACCATATATAATTTTCAAGAGTGCCACTGCGTAGATCCTCAAAGTGCTGTTTGCCACTCGTTGTTAAATTGCAACAATAAAATAAATCCGTAATGGAGCAACTTTCGCAACGTTTGCGAACTTTTCAGGATGTTTAATGACCGAATCTCGCGGTTTCTCTTCGTTCATTGTTTCGCCTCGTTGCCGAAGCTTAAATTGGCTCGCACTGTTTCCAACGATGCCGAGTAAGTGAGTGTCGAAGAAAAGTACTTAAGTAGCATCAAATTGGTGCATTCTATTCGTCCTTACAACACCCGCCGTGACAACAACAGCTATTCTAATGAAATTCCCGAACAAGATAAATATGAAACGAGAAGGAGACAAATAACAAACTTATAGAAATGACTGAACAAACATAAAGCTAGTTGAATTGAAATTCTAGCCATAAATGAATCGGGTTTTATGAAAGTGTGAACCAAACTAACTAGGCAATTCAATTTTACTACTCAGATATTTCCATGAGGCTTAATTACGTTGACTCAATTATCCCAGGCAGGCAGTCGAAATTTCGATATTTGGTATTTGATTGACTGATGCTATTTGTTTGTTTAGGCTTCTGACGCGTATTCACTAATTGTTATGACAGCGTGGGTCAATTGATATAATTACTGGCTTTGCATGAAGAGCAAAACAACTGAATAGCTCATGATCTATTAATGCACCGAATATTCAACAATCCGTATTGTTTACTGATTAAATTTAGTTTTCTAATTAGGTAACTTTTTAAAAAGTAACTTAATATTCATATTTTCCTATAGAAAAGCTGTAATGTATATTTCATGAGAGCTGATTAATAAAATTCTCTCGTCAATGTAAATTTCGGTATCCACCACGGGAATTTAGGGCGAGCGGGCGAGCACTAATGAAAACCGCCTGTAATTTATAAAGCTCTTGACTTCGCCACCTTTTCGCAGCTTAATATGAGAAAAAGAAGCCCCGCTTGAGCCGCTTACAACCAAGATTAGATCGTCAAGCGAAAGTTGTTCCAGGAAAAACGCTAGAGAGAAATTACTCGCATACGGTTTTTTCTTCAAAAACTACATGAAAAAAGGAAGATATAGAGACGGAGGAAAAATAGAGATGGAGGATAGGGAATGCCGGGACAGGTTTCCATTAATTTTTTAATCGCACATTTTTCTTGCTACTAATAATAACGTCAGCGAGTTTGAAGCAACAAAAAACATGAAGATTGAGAGACGATAAACATCCGTTTTAATTAAATTATGTGTTTTCAACATGTATCCTCAATAGCACTTGTTGCTGAATCTATTATCCTTAAAAATAAATATAAAAAGTTTTCTTATTCATTTTTTCCTAATCCATGATCAATTCTGGCGTGCCATTGGTGTTTTACCAAGAATAATTAGTTTATCTCTGCATTAGGTGTATGTCAAAGGTGATATTGCTATCTGATCCACTGAGGCCTTCAAAGTTTACGTGGGTCATGTGGGAATGGTTTTCTCTTCGTTTTAGTCATTTCAGTTGCTCACGTTGTCATGAATCAGGGAAACTCTACAAACTCTATGAGCTCAAAATTGATTATTACCTATATCATCCTATAGGATGATATTCGTGGATGTTGCTGATGCAACATGACCGAAAGGCCAGCGGGCAAAATACGAATTCTGTCGGATTAGGTTTGGTATAAGAATAGAACGAAAGAATATTAATTTGATTTTTCGAAATCGGGCAATGATAAAATAATCATCAGCACATTTTTATTGGTTTATGAAATGCATC